AGAGCTGACCCAGATGGCTCTGCCCCCGCGTGCACATTGAAATCACCCAAGACCAAAAGCCTCGGGGATCCCAATAGTGCCGCGGAGACAAAGTCAGTCAACTCCGGAAGGGAAGTGACTGGATTGCAGGGAGCGCGGTAACCCAGCAAAATCCCCAAACCATCCCTGGCCCCAATCGATATGTGGAGTGCCTCTAGACCTGGCTTTACCACCGAGGAGCGCCTAGTAACCTCCAAGCTGGATTTATAAACAATGGCTACTCCTCCCCCCCGCCCCTCCAGTCTACCCCTCATTTCTAAATAGAGTATGAGACAAGACAGAAATGTCAAGTGTGGTGTTGATCTTAGAGGGTTGGATTTTAAATTGCGGCAGCACAATACTCTCATACTCTATACTCTCTCTCGAACTATAAATCCCATTGAGTTACTTATTCATGTCAGAGAACTGCAGTACACAGGAGTATAATCATAATTGTATATAAGATATTTGAAAAACCTTTAAAACATCAAATGAAGATACACATAAAATAAAATAAAATAAAATAACAGATGATTAGCATTAATGTGATGTTACTCCAGCAGGTAAATATCCTTAATTTCTCTAAATTTCCCTCAGATCCTCCAACACAACACAAACATCATGATCTGTTCAGGGACACCCACACATCCCATCCATCATCCTAACCTGGCAGTTGCTGCTCAACTGGTTCCATCCATTCAACTAAATGGGTAGTTCTAGTCTCCTGCGTGATTCTGGGCTGATGTGACCCTCAGTGAAACCTCCTTTAGAGCTGAGATAAATAGAAAATAAAGAGCTCTCTTCCTCTTGTTTTTCTGATCAGATGATCCTATTTTATCCATAAAGATCAGTCATTTGCCAGCATTTTTATAGTTTGCTCCATTCATTCTGTTTTTTTTTAAAGCACTAAAAACAGAGATCCTTTGCTCCTACTTGTTGAGCTGGAGATTGAGAACGCCAATTCTAAAATCTGAGGAAAATTGGAAAAGACTTTTTGAGTGATTCTTTCCAGCTTCTATACAATCAAAAGAAAATTGTAAGAGACTTTTCAAGCAATTTTTCCCTATCACTCCCCCCTTTCCCCCCTCCCCGTCATTTATGGCCCCTCTTCCCCTGTTTAAAAGATGCACTCCTCACAAACGTGCTGCACAATTACCTTGTGGCCATGGGAATTGGCAAAAATGGGGGAAGAGAAAAAAACTGAATTGAATCGAAGGAGGAACA